GTATTATCTAACTACTAGAGTATATTGTAATATTAAAAAAAATTAAAAAATATTTACAAATAAATAGGTTAGAATGTTTTTTGACAGTGAGTCACAAAAAAGTAATTGCAAATTTACAAAACTTTTTATTCACTATTACGTTTTAAACGTATTCGGAAAGAAGAAGATGCGTATTCCCACAGATCACTCCAGGAAAAAAATTCCAGAAGCATAATTGTTTTCAAGATGATGTGGAAAAACAAAATCCTATTTACTACAACTGGGTAAATTAGTAAAAGCATAGACTGATTAAGTTTAATTGTATGAAATTATTATAGGTGGAAAAAAAATTGTATGGATTTTGTTTTCTTCAAGAATGAAATCCTCAATCAAAAACTGCAGAATGAAACACAAGAGGAAGTCAAATGCATCGACTGTTAAATTCAATATCCTCATGACCTTTCTTATTTTCGGTCGAGCGGGTGCAAATTATGAGTGGGTGAATTTTTCTGTCATTTTAAACTCCTTTCATGTTTTTTTCTCTCCCAGTCTATAAAGAGGATAAATATTTAGCTTTAGACATTAATAATATGATCTTTAATAAAATCATGAAATAGGTAAAACTGTGTGACAAAAGACAACAGTTAATTCATATACTCTGTCATATTCTAACCCTCAATTGGGTAGAGCTAGGAGTTTCCTCATGACTATAATTATCCAACTTTAAATCGAAAATAATTGCGTTGTCCTGAGAGTAAATAAAAAATTGTCGCACTCTGTAGATACTTTTTTGATGATAAGAAATAAATGAACATAACCCTTCATGTTAAAAATAAGAATTGGTAATATTTGTTTTATGAAATTAATCTAAATCTCCATATCAGGAATGAATTTACATCTTCCAAAATAATTACGTTGAAATAAATTTGTTGACTTCATAAAATATACTTTCTAAGTCAAATGTGAATATTTTATACACTTTGATATTGTAGATTTTTATTACGCGGTGTAATACATAAGAATCGCCTCATATCAAACGATCAGATGCTTTAGCAATGAAATACATGTAGTATGGAAAATTGTATATTAGACATTAAATTGTTGAGGAAGTTAGAATTACGTAATCTTGTTATTTGCAATGTTTTAAAGTAAAAAAAAAAAATTAAAATCATCTTATTCATAAATAACAATAATTCTTTAGTTAATGCCATGTACAAAAAAAATCTTCCTATTAAATTTAGAACAAAAAATCAATAGTATTAAAAAGCGATAATTTTCATCTTTCTAAAGTCGTCTTTTGTATAACAGGGATCTTTTTCTTCTCTGGTTGTATGACACTTTCTATCAATCGATATCAAATACTCACTGGATTTTCGAGTAACAAGAAAATCTTGATTTATTCCTTTAAACCCAATTTTTCTTAGTTGGCTTTAACGCATATATAAAGACCTTAATTAGGAACTCTATGTCATTTGCTAGTTTTAAATACGATAATTAAAGACTGTGGTTCTCTCATAAAATCTCTTGCAAGGTAAACTGTCCAAATGTTGTGCAATAAGCTCGTTTGGTCAAGGTCAATTCAAACTTTATTCCTCTACTTCCTTTTTCTGACAGGAAGAGCCCAACGTCCATTTTAGTGACTGTTGATTTAAATAAAGTATTAATCAATCATGTTTAAAAATGCAAAAATTAAAGAAAATGAAATTGAATAAAAATAGAATAGCTTCTATCCCATAGTTAAGTCTTCTTTATATAATATGATATGTAGGTCTTATTAGTTACGAAACGTATTAATTTCCTCGTTTTTATAACAAAGTCAAATGTTTTATTTAAACACAATGAAACTCAACGTCAATTATTCCAGGAAAAAAACACAACTACAAATTAGTGAGTTTGTTGTAGTTTTATTTTGATTACTTATTTGACAGATTGTTCTTAAAACGCCTATAAAACTGAGATTAATATTCGAAGTTTTAATTATTTCAGGACCCATTACTCAGCCTTGTCCAAGGGAATGTCCCATAGGAATTGACAAAGTGTGACATCAGAAATGAAGCCTCATCAACTATGTTTCACGTCATCTGTTTCTGCTAAAATAAAAAAAAAACTTTTTAGCATATTTGAAATCTGTTAAAGGATTTGTTTATTTATCAACAGCATTTTCACTTGCGTTATAATGCGAAGTAAATTGTCAATTTTGTTTACGTATAATTTGTTTCAATGCCTACTAAATGACAATGAAGCACTGATCTCAATTTCTTAATTTGCATAGTTTTTACCGTTTCCAAATCAAATCAGCACACAATTTTCATGATCTTTATAACTTTAATATTCTTTATAATATTATCATATTCTCATTTGGAAATGCAGCAATGTCCAATTATCATATGAATATTAGACTAAATACAAAAATGTTTTCCTTTCTAATGTTTTTTTTTCTGGCATGTTTTACACAATTATATAAGTTGTAAGATTAATAAGAAGCTAGGTACAATTTTTTTCTATTAAGAATGCCGGTTGCTAAAAAATTTCAATTTTTTGTTTTCTTTAACATATTGTTCGCATTAGCAACCACATAACCACAGGAGGACCTAATAAAACAGACAGAAATATTACATATAACTTGACATAAATCAATGTTTAAAGTTTGATTTTATCTAAAGTATCAAAATAAAGTATCAAAAGAAAAATCTTTAATTGTACCCGATGAAAAATTTAAATGATTTCAAACCAGAAGAGTTTCCCTGGAACATTATCCAATAAAGAAAGAAAGGGTGAAAGTAAGGTGATTTATAGAAAATAGTAAAAAAAAAACCCCAAAATTTTGATGATTTTTCTTTATTAAGACGGTCATTTGTTTGTTTGTTTTACGCCATTTCGAGTATTTTTCACTTATATTTAGACGCCACCACTTGCCGGTGTAGGGCTGCAAATTGAGCCCTGCACTCTGCACATACGGCCTCTGAGCAGTGAGGGATCTTTTTTGTGCCAGCACCTACTACGACACGGAACCTTTACTTATGCATCTCATCAGAAGGACCGGTCACCGTGTCACACAGTGGATACTGTATGTGTGCTTAAAATAGCGGACTTCATATTTTAGCGGCTTTGCCGCGGACAACGATGCGCTAATTCATGAATACCGCTAATAAATCATTTATAAATAAAAATTTGGCACGTTTGTGTGTAGCGCTAATTCATGAATACGCTAACAACTCAATACTAAGTGATTGTTCTAAATTTAAATACGCCAATTTATGTGTACGTACAGTAGTGATGGGACATTGGTTAATTTTCATAATCGATCATCGGTTGGAATCGGTTACTGCTTCCGATGCGATTTTACCGATTATAATCGGATGTCATATTTTTGCATATAAAAAGCAGGCTATTACAATTATCTCATATTATTTCTTTAACATAAATATACAAAACATATAATATATTATTTTCGATTCTTAATCACCTCTGCTTCGTGCTAGTTGGCTAGTATCAGATGCAGACACCATTTTCTTTCATCATGAAGAAATAAATTTTAAATCAGAAATGGATAATTCTGGAATGTGTTGTATGGGAAGTATGTTTCCGATGATCGGTTATGAAAAATTATAATCGATCATCGGTAGCAGTTTTTCGTCGACAATCGATATTTTCTGATTATCGGTACAACACAAAAGTAGAGTATATGTATAATATATATATATATATATATATATATTTATGTTCCTTAGTTTGTATAACCTTGCCAAGTAGACTGAGCTCGTTTTTTGCTCAAAGCAGGCGAAATGAGAACACATGTATTAGAATGAATAATGTCATTTATTTTGTAAATGACGAAAAGATATATACAACACAGGGGGTCATACATAAACATGTAACTATAGTAATAACACATGTGGTGGTGAACACAATCATGACCCCCTATAATACTACATATGATAATAAATATCTACACAAAACAACAGATAGGGGGCCAAAGGACTAGAGATATTATGCAACACATGTACAAAAAATACATGACAGACCCCCTACTGTAAACACATATGTAAAAAAATAGTAGCATCAATAAACTGCCTGCCCACAAAAAAGGTGGGTAGCCTCAAAAACTTAGGCCAACACATATTTAAAAAATAGTAGCATCAATATACTGCCTACCCACAAAAAAGGTGGGTAGCCTCTAAACTTAGGACATGACAGAAACTGCCTGCCCACAAAAAAGGTGGGTAGCCAAAAACTGATATCTTTGGAGGTAGAAGGGGTGGACGGTGGGTACAAATTTCACTGCACAGAAATAGCGTGGCTTCTTGTCCAAAATAAACAGATCAATAAATGTCACGTGACAAATTGACCGCTTATGATTGGCTAAAATGCCCAAGTTAAGGGTCAGGTTAAACATAGGCCACAAAAAGTTTACATAATCTAAGTAAGGAATAGGGTAAAGTCAGTGAAACAAATATAAACACTGCACATGTCACATAAAAGTTATTATTTACAATAATTACTTATTTATGTTCCTTAGTTTGTATAACCTTGCCAAGTAGACTGAGCTCGTTTTTTGCTCAAAGCAGGCGAAATGAGAACACATGTATTAGAATGAATAATGTCATTTATTTTGTAAATGACGAAAAGATATATACAACACAGGGGGTCATACATAAACATGTAACTATAGTAATAACACATGTGGTGGTGAACACAATCATGACCCCCTATAATACTACATATGATAATAAATATCTACACAAAACAACAGATAGGGGGCCAAAGGACTAGAGATATTATGCAACACATGTACAAAAAATACATGACAGACCCCCTACTGTAAACACATATGTAAAAAAATAGTAGCATCAATAAACTGCCTGCCCACAAAAAAGGTGGGTAGCCTCAAAAACTTAGGCCACAAATCCAATTAGGAATTGGATCCACCCACCCAAAGGCTGCTTGGCAAGGATTATGACTTTAAAGAAAAAGTGACATGTAAAAAGGTTAACATTATATACATAAAATACAAGCGCAGATCATAACATTTTAGTAATAGATGAAAGCAGGGACTTACAAACAATTAAAGGACATACAAACAATATGGCCTTCTTGTAGAACAACTTCTGTTCTCTGAAACAAGTGACAGCAGACAAATTCTGACCTGTCAGACATACAAAAATTTTAAAATAATCAAATACACATAAGGTGAGAACAAAATAATACTTTATTTAATCACAGCAGCAAAAGTTCTGCCCAGAAAAACTATGCCAACTAAAGACATTCCTTGCAGACCTAAGGTAAGCTACTGTGGTTCGCATTAGTGTCATACATAACATCAAAGGACTTTACATAATTATACACATAACATGAAAGCCCAAACAAAATTTTGTGGTGTTTCTTACACCAAAGAACAATGTCTTATGACAGCAGACAATTTCTGACCTGTCAATCACATCCGGTAAACCAGCAAGGTCATATACATCACACAAATAGATATTTCACTAAAATGAAAAAAGGGTACATTCTATCATCAGGAACAAGAGCAAGCCATTGCTCCAGAAATGGCAACATGACTGCTTTTTAAAATATGGTTAACTGGTAATGGGAGGAGAATAAACCACTGCATGAATATTACAAAAATTGTACATAAATTAATTACAGAATGATATTCACAGCAGACAATTTCTGACCTGTGAACTTAATGACAGCAGACAACTTCTGACCTGTCTTTCATATTCCCCCTTGACATATTCCAGATAAATTGGCAGCAGCCAAATGCTGACCTGCCACATGTAATTAGTGAAGGTAGCTTAAGGGGGTCACCTTGTTACTTAAAAACGGAAGGAGTCGATACGTATATACCTGCGAAAGGCATCAGAGTTCCATCGACCTAACTTTTGAATGAGGTTTTCAGAATAGCCCAAGGAAGCTGCATATGTGGCTGCACCTATTCTGAAACTATGACCCTTAAAATTGTTTGGATTAAGCCCAATAAACTCTACTGCAGATTTTAAATGAGTAGTAACTTTTGCATATGAAATTGGGAGAGCATCATTTGTTTGAAATAATGGGCCAGATGTGTGTTTTGAATATTGCAAATATTCAAAAAGGGCATGTACCGGACAAAACGGTGAACCCTGAATAGCTTGAAGGGAAAATACCAAAGGGGTATGCTGCTTATTTGTTTTGAACTCACGCATTATGATTTGAACTGCTGACAATGTAGACCCTATATAGTCAAAAGTGACATCTGAACGCTGTAAAACGTGTTTGCTGTTGTGCAGTGTTTTTACAGCAACTTCTCCTAATCTCAAAAAAGCATGAAAAGCTAACAAAAATAGAGCACGGAGTAGGATGCGAAGTGAGTACTGAGGGACAGTGTGAGCTAGGGCATTTAATAATTTCCGTAAAATGTCAGGAGTGATAGGTAGACGGGTATCTTTTGTTGGAACTGAAGACTGACAACCTTTTAAAATTTTTCTAGTAATGAAAGCCTGTGTTGGGTCATGCATATCCAAAATTTTGTGAACATAACTAATTGCAGATATGTGAGATGCTATGCTGCTTGGTGAGTAGTTGACTGAAAACAAATGACCAATAAAGTTACACACATCTACAACTGAAACAGGGAGAGCTAAAGTGGGCTTCCAAGTTCTAAACATTTCCCATGTACGTCTGTAAGCTTGAGCCGATGACGGAGACAAGGCAGAAGCTAGCAGCTGTTGGCAAACAGTACTCAAATTTTCAAAAGTTCTACTGGAATTGCAGTCTGGTCTGCATTCAAGTGAGGAGCTATTTTGAAGGCCTCCTGAAATTGAAATCGAGAGAGTTTATCTGCTAATACATTTTTCTTGCCTGCAATATGCTTTGCTTTAAAGAATATATTGTATGAAAGAGATGTAAGCACAAGTCGTCTAATAAGCCTCATAAGAGTTTTTTCTTTGCAAGATTGTTTGTTGACTGCATGCACAACAGCCTCATTATCTGACATAAACAATATTTTCTTATTAGCAAGACTTGGTCCCCAGATTTCAAGAGCTATGACAATAGGGAATAACTCCTTTATAGCTATCTGATGGTGTTCTAAATCTGTTACCACATCCCAGCCAAGAGCGAACCATTCCCTACCAAGAACTCCTGCAAAACCTATAGAACCGGAAGCATCTGTATATAACAGTGCTTTATCTGAAGATGTGAAAACATCTGGTAGAATTACAGACTTCCCATTATAATTTTCGATAAAATGAGACCACATTTGTAGGTCAGCCCTTGTTTCACATGTAAGTCTGATAAAATGAGAGGGATTAGACACACCACAAGTGAGATCTATAATGCGCCTAAGAAAAGCCCTGCCAGGTACAACTACTAAACAGGCAAAGTTTAATAAACCTATCAGGGACTGTAGCTCTTTAAGGGTAATTTTTTTCCTATGCTTTACTTCTTGCAGCTTATTTCGTATCTTGACAAGCTTTGGCTCAGGCAACCGACATTCTAGAACCTTTGAATCAACTTCAATGCCATAAATTGTTAATATGGTTGTTGGGAAATGGGTTTTTTCTTTTTTAATTGGAATACCTGCTTCATTGCATATTGCCAAAAACTGTTGTAAATCTAAAACACACTTATCTGAATCTTTTGGACCTATAAAGAAAAAATCATCCAGCATGTGAGACATGCCTGCAGCATCAAATTTTGTACACATAGCCCATTGTAAACCTTTACTAAGGGATTCAAAGATCTGACAAGAACTGCTAGCTCCCATGGGTAGACATTTATCATAGTAATAAAGACCTTGCCATGAAAAACCAAGAAGTTTGTAATCTTGGGGGTGTATAGGTACAATGCGGAATGCATCTTGAATATCTGTTTTTGCCATGAGAGAGTCCTTACCAAATTGCCTTAACAGGGCTGTAACATTGTCAATTGAATCGTACTGAACCGTGGCATGCTCTTGAGGGATTTGACTGTTAACAGAATTGTGTTTTGGAAATGATAAATCATGTATTACCCTAAATTTTCCTGCCTCAGATTTTGGTACAACCCCCAAAGGGGATGAAACAAAAAATTCGAAAGGTTGGGATTTGAAAGGACCAGCAATTCTACCCTTCTGTAAGCCTTGTTCTATAAAGTCATCTATAACTGATGGATAATCTGTTGTACTTTTATGATTTTTTGAAATTGTTGGAGTGGGTAGACCTACACAACCTAGTTTAAAACCTTGACTAAAACCATCTATCAGAAATCTAAGTTTCTGTGGGTCATAACCCTCCAAGACTCTATTCAGATTTTTTGCTTTGACGGGCGTTGGGAGGTTTTGTGAAACTTGATTTTGGGGTATCTGGGCATCTTGATTTGGGGTGGTTTGATTTGCACCGCATACAGATGTGTTTGAAGGGGCAAGGGTTTCTACTGCAACGTTCACCCCTGTTGAATTGAAAACAGAATCTCGTACGAAAGGGCTGATTCTGTTGCGGCTTTTGAACTTGAAATTTTGATGTTGCAGCTTTAAGGCGCAACTCCTGAATTGGGTTTTGCCATGGGACATTCATTGATTCCCTAAGTTTCCTAAACTGTTCGTCGTACAATCTGAATGCATGATCACCATGTAAATACTGCACTTCACGTATCATGTGGCAGTATTTAAGAAGGTTAGGGGCCTCATTGGGGAATTTCTCAATATAAATAGCTGAAAAAATGAGGAACGCATCAGTCCACTGACCAAGAGTTATAGGGATTTTGGACTTTTGGCCCTGATGCAAGTTAATCACCCCTGTCGAGATGGTTACAGAAAGAGGTTCCTCTTTCGTACTAAGCAATGATTTTAAGTCAATAAACTCATTGTTCCAAATCTTTTGTTTCAGTTTAATAGATACTGAGGCACCCAATGGGATACCATCTTTTATGTCCACACTAAGTGTGGATGACCTTGCTGGCTCACCTAAAAACACCTGGTCCAAAATGGCCCCAATGCCAGATGTACTGGCACCTTGATCTGTAGGAGACAACTGAGGCTGTGTTGAAACTGCAGTGGTTTGCTGCTCCTGTTGGGGTCCAATTGTTTCCGAATCTGTTGATGGCTTGTTTGCCGATTGTTTCATTATGGCAGCTGCCAACTTGTCATAATCGATAGCGGGGGCGGTGGTAGACTGTCCGGTAAGAACACTTGAGTCAGCATTGATCGGATTTGCGTCAGTAATCATGGTAATGTCATTATCACTAGTGTTCACAGGGTTTCTCTTTTTCTGGGTTTTTGATGATTTTCCTGATCCTCCGTCTAGTTTTCGCTTTGGAGGCATGGTGGTGACCTAAGAAAATTAGTTTATTAGAGAAAATTCTGTAATCATCATAATTAAGTATGTGATATACACATGTTATGCATACAAAGCTCAGTCAGTGAAGCACCATTGTATGCATTAAGAAAAGTAATTTCAACACATAATGAAATCAATTCACAGACAGAATACCAGTTCTGTTGATCTGAATATGTGTGGTACTTGTTTTTCATGAAAGAAATGACATACTTTGCCTGTCCACACATACATTAATTTTACTCTCAGTGTTCACAATTCCCAATACAAGCCCCTGGACAAAATGCCAGGCACTTTTTGTGTAAACTAAACATATAACTTTGATATTAGCAAGCTCTTTCAAGAGCCAGTCTGCATGACATTCTTCTGTTAAGAATGTAATAGCTATGCCATAATGCATATAAAGCAGAATAAATTATGGATATGCGTATGGTCCCGCATATAATTTAAAACAAGATATGATAAAGTGAACATAATCTGTTAATGCACTGTTCATATTGTAAAATGCGTATGGTCCCGCATATAATTTAAACAAGATATGATAAAATGAACATAATCTGTTAATGCACTGTTCATATTGTAAAATGCGTATGGTCCCGCATAAAATTTAGAACAAATTCTGGCAAATGAACTGAAACTGTTAGTGCATTATTTATGATGTGACATGCGTATGGTCCCGCATAGAATTTAGAACAAACTATGTACATAAGGTAAAATGCGTATGGTCCCGCATAATTATTGCAGATGAACATGAACTGTTCATACTATAAAATGCGTATGGTCCCGCATAGAATTTAGAACAAATTATGGCAGATGAACATGAACTGTTCATGCACTGCTCATATTATAAAATGCATATGGTCCCGCATAATATTTAGGACAAATTATGATAAATGAGCATGATCTGTTTATGTACTGTTTATAATGTAAAATGCGTATGGTCCCGCATTGAATTTAGAACAAATTATGACAAATGAACATAATCTGATAATGCACTGTTCATAATATTAAATGTACTGTTCATAAAGATGAAATTGGTCCCAAATACAATTTAGAACAAATGGTGTATGGCTCTGCATACCTACTGAAGTAATCACCTTCTTACTATATTGTATAATGCGTATGGCCCCGCATAGTTGAATAGCATATAGTACTTGTAGCAAAATCTTATGAACAGTATAATTCATACTTCATTATGTGTATGGTCCCACATAACTACTAAAAGAAGCCACAGCAACAAAAATTGTTTACTGAATTTTTGTTTGTTTTTAACTACATTAGGGAAAATGAAAGCAAAAACTCTACATATGGTCTTGCATTGTCACATGACTAATATACTGATAAATGTGTATGGTCCCACAGATACCAAGTATTTCATTTCCATACATTTTCCCTTATTAAAAGTACAAGCACAAACAAAATTAAACAGAAGCCAGTCTACAAGTATGTAAAATTATCAGAGAAGTTTTCAAATTATACTGGCCTTAATAATGCTTTGAAGTGAAGTATTGCTGAACGAATGCTGCGCCAATATCGGTGCATAGGAGAGGATGACACAACATGGACTGATGATCTTGGGCATTGCAGGTGAACCCCATCATGGCAGAGGAAATTCAAATCGCTCCAAAAGCCTCTGTGGTGCCAAAAATAAATCCCCTCTCGGTCGGAACACCCTGCCTTAAGAAGATTGTTCGTGGCAACGATTTTCCCATTAAAGTCACTGGAGGACGCCCAAGGTTGGCGACGCAATAGTTGTCCCACAATCACGATTGGAATACCCATCCCCTCATGTAAATACCTTGCTACTGAAAGGATATCTGTTGCCAGTTTGTTCACATCATAGCGCGAAATGTCATTTTCACCGATCTGAATAAAGCACATATGCGGTTTGCTGTGAAAAGTAATGAAGTTCGATAACTGGGACACTCTTAATCCTCCTCGTGCACAAACTGACACATTAAAATTGTCTGAACCCAAATTTAAATTCATTAGCTTTGAATTTGACTCCATATAACGTTGAAGACGTGAAACAAATGAATGTCCTATCAAACAAACACTGAGACAATTCGCATCGTCCATGTTGTGGTCCATCTCCGTAACCGGTTCTAACCGGATTGCGCACTGAACAGGCGAACCGAGCAAAACAAAACAGTAAGTGCAAGAGAATACGCTAACACTCACCGTTCTCTGCCAAACAATGTTAGATAAACATTATAATGTAACTACAAGTTCCTTGTACACGGAGAACGTAAATACATCCGTAAACTTTGCAAAACTTTACAAATTTCACTGCACAGAAATAGCGTGGCTTCTTGTCCAAAATAAACAGATCAATAAATGTCACGTGACAAATTGACCGCTTATGATTGGCTAAAATGCCCAAGTTAAGGGTCAGGTTAAACATAGGCCACAAAAAGTTTACATAATCTAAGTAAGGAATAGGGTAAAGTCAGTGAAACAAATATAAACACTGCACATGTCACATAAAAGTTATTATTTACAATAATTACTTATATATATATATAGAAAGCACAAAGAAATTCACTTTTTATAAGGATAACCACTTCCGCCCCAGCCCGGGGTTGAACTCTCGACCAACGGAACCTGTCTCCTAGCAGTACAGGGACAGCGCTCTAGACCGCTCGGCTATCTAGGCAAGTTAAAAAAAAAACTTGCTTTCGATGCCGATGGAATTCTCGCGGCGCTGCCCTACACTACACGGTCGTTGAGAATGGAAGTGAGATACAGTTATTTGGGCATTAGTTTTATTAGAGGATCGTTACCAATACACGCTGTAATGAAATTAATTTTTATTTATATAGCACATTTTACAGCTCTTAAACTAAGAATTGCCTACATAGCCGAGCGGTCTAGCGCGCTGTCCCTGTACTGCTGGGAGACAGGTTCCGTTGGTCGAAAGTTCAACCCCGGGCTGGGGCGGAAGTGGGTATCCTTATAAAAAGTGAATTTCTTTGTGCTTTCTATATTAATAATTCTTCACTTAGGGCAGCTATGTTAGTTTAAGAGTTGTTGTAAAATGTGCTTTATAAATAAAAATTAATTTCATTATTTTTTATTCAGGAACTACAAAAAAAAATTGTAATCACATTAATGTAGCATATCTGGTTGCAATTTGTTGGTATATAAAATTTAATCATTAGGTCTATAGTTATTAATTATAATCTTTAAGCAATGAGGTGATGTACCGGTATACTCAGTCGAGTATAAAGGGATTACCACTTAGGTTTTCAATGACAAAATTACACTGAGATTTTTTAAGATGATTACCGTAGATTAAATATTAATATAATTAAAATATAGGTAGTATGTTATTAAAGAGTTGCATGTCAAAACATGCATAATACAATATCATTTATAAAGCAATTTCATCCAACCGCCCTGGTTCTGAAGCAGAATAATTACGTTAACTTCTCCAAACTAGATCTTCTTAGAATATCAAATTTTCAATATGTTACTACACTAATTAGATAAAAATGTGTTAAATTGTCGGCCGCGTGGCGCAGTGGTTAGAGCGTCTAATCTAGAGTCGCGAGGTAAGGAGCTGATCCTTACGTCGTGGGTTCGAATCCACTGAAGGACGTGGAGACCGGTCCTTCGGATGAGACCGTATAAACCAAGGTCCCGTGTCGCAGTAGGTTTTGGCACGAAAAAGATATCTCACTGCTCAATGACCTTGAGTGCCGAGTATATGTATAAATTTGCAGCCCTCCACCGGCAAATGGTGGCGTCTCCATATGAGTGAAAAATTCTCGAGAGGGACGTTAAACAACAAACAAACAAACAGGAAATTGTGTTTGCCCTCCTAAATGTTCTTAAGGATTTAAGTATAAATATCTACAGTCTAATACAAATAATCTCCCATCTTCACATTATTGTTTACATGATATATATTTTCCTTTAATGTTGCCTTTTTCCTACTTTCTACTTTCGAAGCGATATTCTAAAGATTCTCTTCAAAACTAGAAATTTTTTCTGATAGCACGATTTTCAAATAATTTCATGCTCTACCACAGATTGTAAATTTACATTCCCTCTAAGTTCTCAAGTTTTACCTGTAGGTATTGACAATATCATTAAACGTTTCAAAGTGAAGCGTTCAAACGTATTTGGTTAATACTCATTAACAAAAGTATAATGAGACAGTTACGTCGACAAAACACACAATCTGTATGATTAAGTTTTCTGTTGATTGAAAAAAAAACATTGGCAAATGAAGTTGTTTTCAATGTAAACGTCAGTCGTATTGCAGAATTTGTTTGATTTGAACATATTTTATTGTAATAATACATACAAAAGGATTGGATACAAGTTCTTTCAACTTAATAAATCCTCTCCTTATTATACAAACAGTGAATACAATATATGATTGTCATAATAAGTAAATTGAGATAATTTACGAAATTTTATGTTGTACATGTAATATATATGAAAAATTATAAAGACACATACTCAGAGTAATCTACAAGAGCTCTAATGTTACATATACACTGATTACAATGTTTATTGAACAAGAAGCTTTCATATTTGATAAAACATTTAAAATTTTCATACTGCATATACATATTGAAATCAAAGACACTGTTTTGAATTAGAATCTATCTGATTCTCGAATAAATTTCTGGACACTACAGAAAATTTTAATATTTACATCGGTAGACAAAGATTCGTTTCCGCACAATAAAAAATGAGTATCTATTATATTTTGCTGTTTAAGTTGAATAATAGTGTTTATTAAGTCATTTCTTGGACGTTCATATTTCTTGCATACAAAGAAAAAATAATAAATGTCTTCAGTTTGGCCGCAAGTACATTTGGGGGAAGAAATTATATTTCTCCGATACAAGTCGCTATTTAAGATACAGTTGTGTCTTAATTTAGTGTGAATTATATTCCAAAAACGTTTTCCAGAATTTGTGCAGATCTCTTTTGAAATGACGTTAGTGTTTCCTTCCTTTAAGAACAATGAAAATAATAACAAGAAGAAGTCTATAAGGAGAATGTAGCTCAACTGTTTGCACTTACAGCAAAAGAAAAGAAAATTAGGAATTGGGCTTGAACTCATGACAATAACCAATAGAGTTATGATCCCTGCTCAATTCTCTTTTTATGGAACAATTTATTGAAATTGAGCATAAACTGTATGGGGGAATAATGTTAGAAAAAAATTGGCTTATTTATGTTGGTGAAACTAAGGGTTTACTTAATAAGAGAATATCAGGGCATATATTTCAGACTAACAAGGGGGGCCAGCAGCTTCTATACAAGCATTTAATTTACCTGATCATTCTATTTTGTCAACGAAAGTTAGAATTCTAGAAAAAATGTACCATCATACTATTACTCCATCACTGAGTACACCTTTCCGTAGACAACGAGAAGAATACCGGATTAGAAAACTAGGCAAGGTCTTTCCATATGGTAGCATGACAATGTCGATAGTGTTGGGAATCGTTCAAGTCCACAGTGTAGCAATGTGAATGTGATGGGGCTTTTTAACAGTATACAGATACGTAAGCGTAGTAATGGAGATCGGCCTTACAATAAACCTATTATACACGATGTCTCCTTTGATTCACATCTACCTTATTTAAATAAACAGTAAAGCCTACATCACATTCGAACCAAACTTTACTTTGTTCCTTTGAAAGTTTTGAAAAGTCTACTTGTAAAAGTCAAGGAAAGTCCAGATTTGGATTCTTTGACTCCAGAATACAGACTCGGAACTGTTATGGATATTGCAAATCATAGGGTCTTTAAACCACCATGTTTTGCGGAAGAGAATACCGCTCAAACAACCCATTTGTTCCTTAAATTTCAATATACCAACAAAGGATTTGGCGCAGTTAATATAAGTAATATTCTTAATCACAAAAAGTTCCATTCTTGTATTCCATCATATTTCAAGTTGAAGTCCACACCTTGTATTTCTTACAAATATACATCAATAATTGCTCCCAAACTTTTTAATAATAAAAAAAAAACTCTACAATGTCTAAATATCAAGCATCTGAAACATAATCCTCCAATGTGTTCATGATCTTCTTCACTCTACAACTATAGTCATGCTGGACACGTCCTTACTGGTGACGTAAATATAGTTAATAATGAGGACCTTTGATAACTTATTACATGTATAAGAGGGTCAAAGTTCAGGGAACCCCTATCTTTCAACTGGCGTCACAATTTTATAAATATTATGAATTCAGTCGAACATTACGCCAGACGATGGGCAAAATATGAAAAAGAAGACATTGAAACTATGTCAGAATAGATTAAATGTATCAGATGGATATTGAAATCGCGCATTAATCAATTGAGGGGCAATATGAAAACAATCTTTCCTTCTGTCTTCCACAATGCAGAAGTGAAACAGAAAATATAATTGATGGATGCTGCAGATATTTTTAATAAGAAATAAATATGTAGATTGATTTGTACATATCTTTATGCCCCCCTCCCCTCCCCTCCACCCACCCCCCCTCCCCGTAAAAAAGGTGCATAACGGGTTTGCAGCAGTCGGTAGACAAAGTGTTGTTCGATCAATTTCTAAGAACCTTTTGCTTGACATACCGGTATATCAAATATGGTTCACTGGTAGTCCCTAAAAAGTAGATACCGCTGTTCATTTTGTGTCAAAATCTAAATCAAGGTTCAATCTACTCTGGAAATAAAAAAAAATGACCACTCAGTATATTGAGAATCCTATGCTCGAAAAACATGAAACATGGTACACTGATAAAGTTCAAACTAAGTATAGAGATTTATCTCTACAATTAGATACAAGTACGCTCTTTTTTCCTCTATCATTACAAATATTTTAAATTTCAAATTGTCCCTTTTCAATTTTGCCATATGGGGGCGTATGTGTTTCTCAAATATTTCTTGTTACTATTCCATGTATATCTTTGCTGTCATAAAAATTAGCTGAAGGCTTGATATAAGTTCTTACTCTTGACTAAGGACAACGGTTATGTCTTTAATATTTATAAAACAAAAAATTCCACTTTTCGTTTTACCTTCATATGTTTCATCATCGTGATCTCATGACTACACTTACAGAATGGTTACAGGATTTAACTGTACACGTAAATAATGTGGCCAAATTTTTCTTTGAGATATGATGCTAAAAATTGAATAATCTGGATATAAGATTGATTGCATGTTGTTTTACGTCCCATTCGAGAATTTTTCACTCATAAAGAGACGTCACCATATACCGGTGAAGGGTTTCAAATTTAAACCTTTACTCGGCACTTAGGGCA